TGTTGGAGTGTAGTGCAACTCAGTCCTGCATTTTTTTTTCTGTGTCTATCTGCTACAAAGATGATTGGTTTTTCTTATTCAGAGTCAGAGAGGCTCGTTGGTAGCACAGGCAAATAGACGTACTCGATCTCAATCTTCACAAAGTAATTCTAATAGAACCAGGGCTCGAGTAACCCACTCTGCACGAATGGCACAACTGAGGAATCAATTTTTTGGTGGCTCTCATAGAGTGGCAACTAGACCAAGGAATATAAATTTTCCTATGAATATGGATATGGATATGGTAGTGTCTTTTCTCTTATTAATCAACATTCTATTTTTCTGTTATATGGACAAAATATACGAATAGATGGTTGATGCCTGATGATATGATGATCGTATCTTACTGATGGTTTTTTGTAAGGAGATAGTAGATCCTTTCCCATATCTAAACAGCAGTAACTTGCTCTTAATACAGAGGCTTGATATATTGGAAGCACTGGAGGCTGCAGTTGGAGATATGGAAGGTGTGAGAGTGAATAGGGACATCTTTCACATCCAGCGTGATTTCAACGAGTAAGATTTTGATCCATTTGAAAACAATTTATAACTTGTGCTTATATTTTAAGATTATTTTTAAAATTTTTGTGACGTGAACTTGATGGGTTATGAACATTAGTAATGAGTGTGTCCCTCGATGCTTGCTTTACAAAAATTTATATATTTGTGTGTGTATATAGGTATGACCAGTATGCTAGGCTAGAGACTGGAAAAGTAATGGCTAATTGTCTTTGGATGTTTTGGTTTTTTTGTTTGCTTACTTGCAAAGGTGATGTATATTGTAAGGAAAAAGATAGATCTCACAGTCTGAAATAAAGACACAGCATGAACAAGGAGACCATACACTAAAAAAACAGCGATAACGAAAACAAGGACAACAACACAAACAAAATATGAACAAACACACAGATAAATAACAGAGCTAGCAAAAACAACTCAGCTAAGAAAAAAACTCCAGCAAACCCTAACAAAGTTCGTTTTCTAGAGTGAACACTATCCAACCAAGAGATAGTACGAGCATCAACATCACTATGAACAAGATGTAAAATATAGAAGCCCGAAGAAAGACATCACCATGAATTATGGAATTACGTCATAAGATGAGACCGTGAGATAGTTATGGTATTTGAATGAAATTAATTAGTAGATTGTGTATCCCGCATATACCTTTAAAAATTTATAACTATTTAATAAAAAAGTCATGTTTATTAGATCAAAATTCAAAGTAACCAATAATTATAGTTTATCCTGGGTAAGGATACAGTTGCTAACATAATAACCTCTCTTCGCAATGCTGACATGACTAGAAAAGGAATGACCATATTATGCAAGGAGACATTTTTGCTAATTTGAATTGAAGGGTGATATAAAATCGTTCTATTTTTGGCATCATATCCAAAATGTGAGATATAGATGCAGTCCAACCGATCCTCAATACTCACTAATATGACAGATTCACACCAACTCTGTCCCCAAAGGCAAATATGATGAGATGAACTTGGCAAAGCAATCATACCACCCCAAATAATTTTGCCGAAAACACATTAAAAAAAGAGGTGGCCCCAAGTCTCAATCCCTAGAAGACACAGGAACCAGGACTAGAAGGACACCAAAACGAATATGATCTCAATTCGACAGATGATCAAGAATAGCTATCTTTGCCGCTTCTTGAGATCAAGATATTCTCTGATTCCCTTTGACTAGTTGTTTTAGATTTATGACTTTTTTTTTTCTTCATTATTTTCATGTAGAAATGATTACGAAATGTTGCTGGCCCTTGACGAGAACAATCACAGCCATGCCGGTGCATCAACCAACCGGATTAATAGTTTGCCACAATCTACAGTACAGGTAGGTGGTGGGGGTTCTACTTCCAGTTTCCGATTGTATTTTCCTTTTGTTTATCAGAACTCATTCGCTGGACCACGAGATCTGCTGGTTATATGCTCTTGGTTATAAAACTTACAATTTGTTTCATGTATTCTTCCTCAGACTGACAGCATGGAAGAAGCTTGTGCAATCTGTCTTGATGCACCGACCATCGGAGATGTCATTCGCCATCTACCATGCTTACACAAATTTCATAAAGATGTATGGATGGACGCTTTAAGACTGACGTATGGCCCTTCCCTTTCTGTGCCATTATTCACTGACCTTTTACTGTTTTCTGTTTCAGTGTATCGATCCATGGTTACAAAGACGAACATCGTGCCCGGTTTGTAAGTCGTCCATCACTTGATATGAATGATGATTTCGGGCCATTACAGATCTGCACACGCTCTTACTCTTTTTTGGAGCCAAGGTATAGTCAGATTATTTACATTTTGTTTTCGACCTTTTGGATGAGATAATGTTACCGATCTTTTCATATCGGGAGTCGAGTTTGTCTCCCACCAAACTTGGATTTTGCTACATATGGAATGCGATGTTAATATATTATGAACATTTTTTCCCTTGACGATGGCAGTCGTCACGACAAGATGCTCGTCATGTGTTTTCTCTAATTTGCTCTTGGTTCTCATCGTATAGCTTGTTAGAAGGTTTTTCGCTTGAGCTCGGGAAGTCGGAAGCGTAACACTCCAAAGGTGCAATTCTCCATCTGTGGGGAGGAAAGTAAAATTTCCAGCTTGAATGGGTGGAAATGGTTTTGAATGATCTGGTGGAGAAGATGCAGAATTTGTATCTGTGGCAGATTATAATTTTATAAGTTAGCTCATTGCCATTCTGTAGAGCAAGCAAATCTAATTAACGATGAACTTGTGAAATTTATTGGTCACGCTTGGAATGCCCAAAATTCAACAGCAAGATTTACATTTAAATAGTTGTTAATCATTCTGTGGAAGTGAAATTTTGTTTGTCATCTCTCTAGTGAATATTAGGAATAAATACTTTTCTTTAGATTTTGTCTGAGGTTTTACACCATTTTTTTGTCTT